ACAGGTAATGATCAAGTAAATCTATAAATACTTGAAAATCCTGAGAATGGATTATCTAGATAATGTGTTAGAAGTTGAACTATTTTTAAGGCTACAAAATCTTTTTTTCATGTTTATGTATATCGAGGTTGAGATGATCGAATTGCAGGTTTTCAGCCTACAAACAACCTTCTCTATTGGATTTTTTAGGTGCACCTTACTAGTAGGTTGACACCTTACGTAAACTTGTTCCTTTAAAATAATGTATATGAATTTTATTTTGAAATTTTGTTCATGCGGGCTGGACCGCAGGACAACATATGCAGTCCAAAAAGTGTAAAGCATCCATCTTAAAGATGAATGCAAGTAGGTGTGCCATCTAAAAACGATGGAAGCTAACTATCCAAATGTTTTCTTACTAGACTTATTATTTCTCGTGTAATATTTATGATCTCCATGTTAGAGATTGCATGTCCTTAAAAATTAAGTCCAAAAATCTATCTCAAAAATAAATTTATTAATAGGCCGGCATTTCTACATATACAAGCTTGGCTGCATAGAAACCAAGCCCTTTTATTTTTCTATAAATCATATTAAGCTATTTGGAACATCATATTTCTTACACTTACTAAATTACAAACTTTAAAGAAATAATTGGTCCTTTGGATCCTAGGGTATCCAAAATTATATTTTGTACACCCAAGGTATTTTTGTATAAAAATATGTTTGGCAATTGTTTTTTTGATACATAATCATGTTTTCTGTAAACAAGAAAGAGGGCCAAAATATGGGCATATAAAATCAACCTAAAAAAAATGGATTATACTAAACATGACTTTGTGTAAGCGTGAAAGCAAGAATACAAATATAATACAACAGATTATAATATTATTTACACATACATGAGCTGCCCACTTATTAAATATAATTAATTCTTCTAAAACATTCCCACAAATTAGAGAGAGAAACTACCTCAAATTTTAAATTTTAGAGAGAGAAAGTATTTTAAAATTTTTAAAAGAGAAATTATATCAAATATTAGCGAGAGAAACTATTGAAAATTTTTAGAGAGATAACTATCTCAATTTTTTTAAAGAGAGACTATATCTAATTTCTAGAGAGAGAAAGTATCTTAATATTTTAGAGAGTGAAACTATATTAAATTTTATATAGATAAATTATTTGAAAATGTTTTTAGATCAAACAACTTGTAGTGTTTTTTTTTTCTTTTATTCTACAAAGAATTTTAAAGAAAGTTTGGGGCATGCATAGATATGTGAAGGACACATATGATAAAAAAATAAAAAATTTAAAAAAAAAATTTCGGTGATGAAAAATTTTCAGAATACCCCTAAAAATTGAAGGGGCATTTTGGTCATTTATTTTTATAATAATTTTTTTTTTTTTACCTTTTCCAGGTTCCTAATTTTATAGTGGGACACCCAAAATTTCATCTAAAATGTTTTGAACAAAAAAAAAATGAAAAATGAAAAATAAAATAGTGTTTGGTGTGATATAAAATTATGAACAATCATAGCCGTTCGATTCAAATCAAACGGCTAAGAGGTAATAGCGCATAACTCATTTGGTATGCAAGCTCGCGTATGGGGCTTCATACACCAAGGTTGTGATTGTTTTTCCTGATCATCTTGATTTTAAATCCCAGGAGCCCTACAGTATTGAAAACAAACCAACTGACAGCGGCGTCCCGTCTCTCCTTCTAGCGTGATGGGAACTCTCTCTCCATCTCCCGCCCACCTCTCTCACTCTCCATCTCTCGGCCACCTCTCTCTCTTAAGCTCTGTAACTCATCTCTCTTCGTCTCTCTGACTAGCTCCTCTCTCTCAAACCCTCGATGACCCTCTCTCTCAAATCCTCTCTGGCCTGCTGCCCCTCTCTCTCAATCTCTCTGAAACTTGCCCCTCTATCAATCTTTCTCTTGCCTACCCCTCTCAGCCTATCTTTATACATCTCTTGTTGCCCATCCCTCTCGTTTTGGGGTTTTGGTTGTTTTGGGTTTTGGGGTTCTGATGCAATTACAAAGCCAACTAAAGTTATGATAGCAGCTATGACTAACGCAGATGTCGATGAAGATGTCTTGGGTTTCAACCCAACAGCTCAGAAAGGTCAAAACTGAAATGGCAAGAATTCTGGGTAGACAAGCAGCCCTTTTGTGCCTTTGGTTCAATGAGTAATCTCTCGTTGCCCATCTCTCTCTATGGCCCCCCCGCCTCCCCCCCTCTCTTTAGAAATACAACCTAAAGCACAGAAAAAATTGAAATTTTAGAAATTTTCTATGCTCCATTGCTGCTGCAAAGGCAATTGGGACAATCTTCAGTGAATTTGAGGTTTAAGTACGCATTTTTTATTCGTTATCATTACTGTTTTATTTTGATTTCTAAAGTCGATTTCTTTTTTTTAAAGGATATTTTTTAATTTGTTTCAGTGCTTTCTTTTTAATCTTTTTTTTTCTAGGATATTGTGTTAGTGCTTTATTTGATTTTTACATGTGATATGCATTTCTTGTTTTGGGCTTTGAGGTTTGGGGGTTTTGGTTGTCTTTGTGCATAGCCTTTACTCTAAGATTTATTCTCAACATGATAAAACAAGTTTTTTTTTTTTTTTTGGGTTCTCCTCTCTCTCAATCTCCCACTATGCCCTCTCTCTCTTTCTCTCTAAAAATACAACCTAAAACATTGAAAAATTTTGAAATTTCAAAAAACTTTATGTACTTCTATAAAAAAATTCTATATAGGAAAATTGTTTTGCTATTCTTTGATTCATAACTTTTAAATTGTTTCTTATTTGTGATAACTTGTATGAAAGAAAGACCTATGTGATCTTTTACCGATGAATAATATCTTTTTTTTTTCATATATCACCCCATTTATTTTGGCAAAAGATCACTTAGAGGTGGTCTTATTACAACAACATA